CACACACACACACACACACACACACACACACACACACACACACACACAGCGACGTGGTGCCAGGGAGATGGCAGCGGGCAGGAAGCCCCACTGAAGTCTAGCCAGAACTTGGAAGCGGTTTCTGGCCTGCTGCTCCTCGCCGCGAGCGGTTCGGGGGGAGGGCCAAGGAGAACTGGCATGAGGAGGGGGTGCAACTGGGGGGCAGCCTCATATCTAGGCCAGGTTTTCTTACAAGCTACAAACACACACTGCTGGTAAATGCTTAACCCTGTCATCTATTCCTGAAACAGCATCAATAGAGAGAAGAGGGTCTGGGGGAAACAAACCAACAGGGGGTGCAGCTGAGCCACGTAGCAGAACGGAACAGCAAGATGTAAGCAAGTTATATAACAGACCCCGCCCACACATGGATTAGCCAATCAGTGTGCTGTTCTCCCAGGCAGGGGGTGGGGTTTAAAAGACAGATCAAAGGGTTTAGCTTAAAAAGGGAGCGTGCGGCAGCACATGTCCCATATGACAGCTGACCCCCCCCCCTCCCCCCCGCCAACCTCAATACTTGGGAGCAGGAAGAGGAAGGAGCGGTACTTACGACTGACAGGCGAATGCCATGCCACAGATAGGGATGCAGCGAAAGACGCCGTCCCAGTGCATGTAAGTGACCAGCTTCACCCACTGCCCGCTGATGAGACCATGTTTGAAAGAGGAGAGCACCATCTGCGTTCGAGGGAGGGGAGAGCAGCGAGGTCAGAGGTCAGTCCTGCCACTCTCTGGGCTCCGGAGGAAGGGATGGTTCTGGAGACCAGAGAAGGGCAGGCCAGCGATCCCATGATTATAAGCCCTGGCACTATTCACGGCGGAGCACCACACTGTCCAAAGCACCAGAGCCAAGGGGCCACCCTGGGCTCAAGGGCCACCAGGGGCCCCTAGGAACAAAAAGGAGAAACCAAAAGAATGATCTAGCAAGATGAGGTGGGTATGTTTCTGTTCGGGGGGGACAACACAGTGAGAGGAATGATTCTGATTGCCATTTGCTTCAGATGAGGGTTTCCCAGGTAACCAAGATGCCACCACCGTACCTCCCGCCTGTGACATCCCCCAGAGACCGAGCTGTGATGGGGTGTCCAGGCTCGAGGGTGTAGGTACAGATTTAGACCTTCCCCCAGCCCGCCGCACACACGCACCCACATACACGCACGCCCAGAAAGAGAGGATGGAACCAGACATGAGCAAGAGGTGGGGTCAGGGGAAGGGGGCGTGGCTTGTGGTGGGGTCAGGGGAAGGGGGCGGGGCTTGCGGTCTACTTACGGATGGCAGCAGAAGGTGTTGGCGATTATGGGCAGGCACTGAATGATGCCCGAGCCTCGCCAGAGGTGCACACGCTCCGCCCATGAGCCACTCGCGAAGCCGTAACGCAGAGAAGACAACACTATCTAGGGGCGGAGCAGCGCCGCGGGGAACGGGAGGGGGGTGGGGGAGACACATCATGGAGAGGGTTAGTGGCCGGGATAGACCCCCCCCGCCCCTCCCGGCCCAACCCGGCCAGGACGGGGATAGCCAGGCACGAGCAACGCAGCAGCCAGACACCACTAATTAATCCTAGAAATGTTAATTCAGAAAAAAAAAAGTATGCTCTACCCAAGTACTGTGAATATTTTAATATGCTGAGGCTCCACAGTCAGTAAGAGTGTGTTAGTTATGGGGTGGGGCAGGATTATTACCCAATCAGCATGCAGCTCATAATTAAGTTCATGATTAAATATTATAGAGCTTTAACAGCCAGCGGCAGGTGAACAGCATCCTGCGCGGGATCATCTGGCCCTTGACAATGTCACAGGTGCATGCAGCCGGGGGAGCGGTAACCATGACAACAAATGCTTTAAACGGTGGTGACGATGCAGTGACCGAGAGAGAGGTTCCAGAGGGTGGGGAGGGGCGGGGACGGACCGCGCTGGTTCTGAGAAGAAGCAGAGAGCCAGTCTGCTCTGAAGCCAGAGGGGTGACATCATTCACACACATTCGTGGGACGTGTGTGTCCGTGTCCGTGTGTGTGTGTGTACCTGTGATAGGTGACCTCTATCACTGTCACATGCAGCCTTACCAAGGCAACCATGTCTCTCGAGTTTGGCGCCAGTCTACTGGGCTTTGGGGGCAGGGGGTGGGGGGGGCTATAGGCACTCAGCTACTATGGAGATACGCTTCCCCCCCTGGCTGTGGGCGGCACACAGCTCACCACGAACATGAAGAGCGCATAGAACATGAGCGCCATGGCGGAGAAGGACTGGATGGAAGACATCATGTTCCTCTGCAAGCTGAGCGGCAGCACGATGAAGAGGGAGACGGCGACGAGGAGCAGCACGCGGAAACTTCCCGTCACCTAGGAAACGGGGTTCAAGGAGGATCAGCAGATCGGAACAAAAACGCCAGCGTGCACCGAACAACCATTCACACACAGAACAAAGACAAGAAAATTGTCTGGTATACAAAAATAAAATGCGCAAACATAGTTAATTGCGTAAAATATAACTATTAAAAAATTATTGCATAAAAATGTAACAGATATTTCAAAAGGGTGATGAAAACGGAAATGGATAAAACTCAAAATGTGTCTGTCTCACCTGAAGCCCTAACAGCTGGGCAAAGAAATTGGAGCCGAGGTCAGCGATGACAACGTAGAAAGCGATGCAGGTACCCAGCATCAGGCCGATCATGCTGCAAGACAGGAAGGCCACTCAGCCACCAGGGGGCACTCTGCTCCGCTCCCTCTCATAAATCAGTTTCTCAGAAGTAGAAAGTTCAGGTCTAGAAAGTACAAGTCCAGATCAAGATTTTGATCCAACCAACCAGTTGAGTACTCTGTGAATGTGACTCTTTATACTCAACTGTTTGGTTGAAGCAAAATCTTGGTCTGGATTTTTACTTTCTGAACCTGAACTTTCCTCCTCCAGTGATTCCCAACCCGGTCCTCAGGGACGACAAACGCAGACTGCCAGGATCCGTGAGCACCAGATTGGGAAACACTGTCTTAAAAAACCAGCCCAGTCTCCCTGAAGTACATGCAGCCTATTCCACCACCTGTTTTAGATTGCTTATTGCAGTGCGGCCCCATCTGCTCTCCTTAAATAATCAAGACTGGAAACAAAATACAAGAAAATTACGGCAGGCGGCTGAAATGAAGCACCTTGTACAGTCTGCCTGGCAGCAACGGGCACCAACGTGGAGTGACAGCAGTAAACACTCACCTGGTCTCCACCAGCATTTTGCCTGCCTTCCCATAAGCATGAAAAGCTGCAGATACATAAATACAGAAATCGTTGGGAAATGGACTTATCGCATGGTTACTAATAAATTCTAACCATAATGCATTTTGTTATTAATGCGGCATCTCCGGAATGCTCCATGGGTGTCGGCTGCTGATTGTGTCATACTGTTGTGGAAGCTCACCCAGGCCGGCGTAGGTCCTGCGCTTGGTGCTGCTGGCTGAATGGACCAGGAACATACAGGACTGGTGCGTCATCCAGGAGCAGAAGAAGAGCAGCAGTGTGCCCAGCACGATCCCGCACTACAGGCGCGCACACAAGGCGGCCGGTGAGAACTGAAGCGTGGCCCCGACACCATTTCTTCGCTTATTTCTTCAACCAAGAGCTGATGCAAAGCAACTTTACCGGAGTGACGCGCCCAACAAGCATAAACAAGGGTGTTTTAGAAACGTAACATTCAGATAAAACATAAATGATGCCAGATTTGCATTAGCTCAGCTGTGACACCTTTCTCCCCCACATCTCTGTCGCACATGAACGGCGACACTGGAGGCTCAGTCGTGCCTTCCCCTGTCACCCCTGCCATGCCAAAGCTCACCCACCTGCTTGAAGCAGAACGGCATGGTTAGCACGCTCACGCCGACGATGCTGTTCACCACGTTCATGATCAGACCCCAGTTTGAGCCCGTCATTTCCGCGGCGGTTCGGGGGGGTTTTCCCTTTGGGGGGGTGCTGTATCAAACTATGTTTTCAGCTGGAGATCCGATAGCTGTGATTTTCTTTGTTTTATGAAGCACGACACAGATACAGCTGGGTGCCCCCGAAGCTCCTCTGCATGTCAAACTCGGCGGAATCCTTTCCCGTCCAACACCAATAACAAGACTTCCCGAGACAGCGACATTACAAAGCACCAAGTGCCGGGCGTTTACACGCTACATGATAAACATTTTCTCGATAGTTTAATTCTACAAAAACTGAACTTCGAGTTATAAAATCAGTTTTTGGAACGTTACGTTTGTCTCTCTCGCGGTTCCCTGTGTACGTATCCAGGAAGTAAGAATGGAAAACGGAGACACACGTCGACAGGAAACGAAACTCAGCGCCGCCGCGAGGGGCGGGTGGCCTATACCGGGGACGTCTTCTCTGCTGCCCCTATCGGCCCGGATGTTTAAAGCACGACAGAAGTATTTTATTTCAATGTTTATTGCGTTGGTTAATCGAGATTTTTTTTTTTAACACCCTAAACGTTTTTATTTGTCTCATCCTGCTGAGTAACAGTTCTGCATCTGCAGTTAAATCAAAATGAATCTCTTTCTCACGCTGCTGATCCAATCCCAGTGTGTACAGGTCAGTCCTTCTCAGGGCGTATTCAGACACACACACACACACACACAAAATTATCCAAGAGGAAAAATGTAGACTGACTACTCCCTTAAACTGGAAACCAGAGAAAACCCACAGTAACCCATGAAGAACATGCAAACTGCACACTCATAGAGCTAGATGAGAATTAAATCCACACCTCTGACTGCATTTCCACACACGCAGTCACTGCATTACCCCATAGGTACAAAAGCTTGATAAATGTGTCCCACCCTTTCCAGTATAAAAGAAATTGGTTTTTTTTAATACATCAAAGAAAATGAAATGGACTGTAATTTTTATCCAGTAGGATAAAAATCATGCGAAAAGAGTAGTGTGCATTTAGACAAAGTCGTCCTTAAATCACCTCCGTCTGCCGAGATGGATGCTGGCGTGCCAGCGGAGTGGGCCATGCCGCTTGCGAGTGCGCGTGTCGATCCCATGGCCATGTGTTCACACGCAGGCCGCGTTCCAGGCAGACGCCATCACACGCATTGAAGCTTACAGCTTATACAGCATCTGTGGCTGCCTGTGAAGTCAAGTCTATAAAAAAGAATCACAACTCCCTGATTAAATGGTGCTATCGAGTTTACGGCAGAGACAAGAGCAATTATTCCATTTTTAATTAGTCTGGGAGCCCGCGGTCCCAGGCACCGGAGCGGTGCGATTAAATCTTAGCGGTCCTGCGTACGATCCGGTGGGCTTAGCGCCCGTTTTGGGAAGCGGTGTGGGTCTCGCAGTGATGGCGCCTACCACACGTGTTTCATGCGTGTGAGGTAACACTGGATCGGTGGGAGAGAGCGAGGGAATGCAGAGAGGGGCCGGGTGCCAGGACCAGGCTGGCTGGGGGCGGGGGTGTCATGACCTCAGTGCCATCCCCAGGGAGGGAGTTTGGTGAGCAGGGAGACCTGGCAGGAAACTCCTGGGTTTCATGCTCTACCAGGCCCCGAAAACCAATCTGACAGCTCCCCCGACTGGCAGGGCCCCCCTCTCATCGCACCTAATCCCCGATGATGGGCTCGATGCCGGGGGCAGGATCTGGTCAGCAGCGGGACCCGGAGGGGGCAGAGAGGTTAGATATTGGAGCAGATTTAAGGAAAAAAATGAGGGAACTTGAGGAGGAGACATTCCAACCGGGGTAGAGGTAGGAGGGGTGGAGTGAAAGCTGTGGGGTGACCCCTGACCTCATAGTGACCCCAGGTCAACACAGGGGTCAGTAAGGGTGGGGGAAACCCACCCTGTAAACTGGGAAGGGTGAGGCTCACACAGGACCTGAAAGCAACCTTTTGTGAGGTCAGACCCTCAGCCTAAGGCAGAGGGGGTACCTTTTTTGTGGGCTGGGGAGTATGCATATGTGTGTGAGTCAAAAAGAGAGCACAGCTTCCGTAATCACATTTAATTACACATTATCCAGCCCCTAGAACAGAGTCTCCCATTGAGAGCTGGGCGGGTCCCCTTGTCCGGCCAAACATTGGCCACCTTTGTCCCCAAACCTCCACAGCACCTCTGCCTGACCACACTTCCTGCTCTGCTATCAATGCAGCGCTTTAAGGCACCCAACCCCAATCACGTTAATTACCTTCAATCGCAAGCATGCATGCAACAAGGTCCCCCAAAGCAGGAAGAGGTTCGCCAGGGTCGGGCGCATTTATTGCGAAAGACGTTGGGGATGGGGGGGGGCGCGTGGATTTGCAGCCTCCCGTTGGATCACAAGGGAGGTCTGTTCACGAGTCACCTGAGCAGGCGCCCAGAACCACAAGCGGGAAGGTGTTGCGGACCCATGCAGAATAACAGGATCTGTTTGAAATGATTCTTTTCAACCTTCTTAGCTAACAACTGGGTTCCTGGTCACACAGAATGTGCGTCTTCGTGAATACGCATCCATCCATCTTCCATGACGGTTTATCTGATACCAGACCATGGCCTGGAGTCTGTCCCAGGAAGCACAGGCAACAATGCATGGGACACCTTGGAGGGAGTGTCACAGGCCCCATCAGCGGAGCAGCGGTGACTCCCGGCGATACTGATGCTCTGAACTGCTGCCCGGCGATACTGATCCCGAACTGCTGCCCGGCGATACTGATCCCGAACTGCTGCCCGGCGATACTGATGCTCTGAACTGCTGCCCGGCGATACTGATCCCGAACTGCTGCCCGGCGATACTGATGCTCTGAACTGCTGCCCGGCGATACTGATGCCGAACTGCTGCCCGGCGATACTGATGCTGAATTGCTGCCTGGCTTCCTCACAGGTTTCCTCATTAGCACTGAGAAGTGGTCACATGACCCCCGGCATCGAGGGGGTGGGATGTGATTCCGGACTGGCCCAATTCCCCACTCTGAATTCCTCCTCAGTTTTCTAGCCACAGAGCGCCTTTGGGCACTTTGAACTGCACAGTGGGTATCGCACAGGAGGGCAGCCGCTCAGAACAAACCAGACCATGATGTCCATTAATTGTGACCGTGACTTTTTTCCACAGGCTGACATGGTACCGAGGCGAAATGCCTAACCACAGTAGGGTCATGTGACCTCATGAACGGGTGGCGCTGCCCATTTTCCCTGAAGCTCTAACTGGTGCGTAAGCCTCTGGAAGAGGTGTTTTGACTGCCTGACCCAGATCCCAGTTCTGAGTCGCCCTGAACAGACCCCACTCAAATTGCCGTGAGACGGCTTTGAAAACTGGCAATAAATCATTTTTAAATGTCTGCTCTCATAAAGCAGCAGATTGACACAGCTTCACCTCCTCACCTCCCATGCAATGGCACGGGTCATCAGGGATACTGGCTGCTAACTGATAGATGGCCAGGAGGGGGCGACAGAGAGAGAGAGAGAGAGAGACAGAAAGAGACAGTCAGAAAAAGGGGGATCGAGACAGATGTATATAGAAAGACTAAAACAGAGAGAGACACAAAGAGCGGGATGAAGACAGAGAGAGATAGACAGAAAGAGGGACTGAGATAGAGAGAGAGAGAGAGAGAGATGAACTGAAGGCTGAAGAACTGTGCTCATGAGAGGAGGTGGACTTGGACAAAAGCAGGTAAGGACTTTGATAGCCGGGGGGGCATGGGGGGGGGGGGATAGCACAGGCACAGGCTGTTTGGCATACCCTCCCCAGGTCAGCAACATGCTGCCCTGATTCTATCTGGAATGGAAAGCTGCTGGCCATCACCCACAATGCACCTCAGTCGGTGAGGCGCATGACATCACCCCTAACTGATACTCAAATGGTCACCCTTACTGTCTGTGGTTGTGAGGGGCTGATATCTCCCCCCTTTTCCATGCCCATCTGCATCTGCTTTGCATGGAGCCACTGGCCCTTGATTGACCCCCCGCACCCCCACACCCCCAGGTCTCCACCCATCCTCTTACAGAGTCCCACAGTGAGTGATGGAGGGCAGCAGATGGACATGAGGAATTCCCAGAATCCCGCTCTTCGTCCCAGTGGCCTTGCACTGCCACAGCAGCCTGGTCTCGCCGCCATTACCAGTACCTCCACCCGACCTCCCCCCCGCCAATGGCGTTTCTTTAGTTCATTTTAATGCATTATACTTCCCTCACCATGCCAAATCCTGACTGGACAACCACAAGCAATCCCCTCTGCCTCATTGGATGGTCACCGGAGATATGGGTGGAGCTACAGGTTCAAGTTCGTACACAGCTGGCCAAAGGAAAGGATCCGCACCTCTACGGACCTGTCAGTCTGCCTATCCTGTAATGAGCACCATGGGCCACGCCCAGTGGGCGGAGTTTATCACAGCCCCAGAGAGTGCATATTGAAAATATAATACATGGCTGGAATTTCCTGTATTAAAACTTCTGTGCGCTTAATAAATATTTAAATAGCTGTGAAAAGATACGTCGGCAGGGTTTAAAAAAACAACGTGCCTGAAAAGAGAAGAGCGAGGCTGGGAGAGGTTTGCTCCCTGAGCATGTGAGTAGCCACACCCACTGGATGACAGACATTCCTGCTGACCTAATTACAGGCCGCTTGGCCGCCCAGCCCCGCCACCACACCCCCCCACACCCTTCCTCCTGTCCTCTATCTTTTGGTGTGTCCCCCTCCTCCCAAAAGCATCATAAACATTCTGCCAGTTCCCAACCTCAAAGCCCCAATCCTGTGTGACCCGCCCCCCCCACCCCACCCCTTCCTCTCTGGTCACTTCATGTTTTCGGAATCTGCCCCAATCCCCCCCCCCCCCAAAACCCCCGAATCCAGATGCCACACCTTCAAGCCCCTGCACTCTCCAGTCTGGGTTGGGGGCAGCTGTACGGCCAGGTACAGTCACATGACCAGAGAAGCGTTGGCCTGCGATAAACAGGAAGTGTCCCGTCTGGGGACGGCAGATCCAGCCGGCCGTCTCGCAGCGAGATGCACCTCTGCTCTCCATCGCATTTGCTGCACTTGTGCTGCAGGGCAAGCTGCCTTCGTGGCGAGGATCCAGTAATGGGCGGGGGGTTGCATCACCAATCACATGTGTGCAATGCGGGGGGTTTACTGAACTCTCGCAAACAGATGTTGCGGGGGGAGGGGTGGGAGCCCACGAAACAAGCCCCCTACATCTGCCAGATATTAGACAGAAGTGCCGGATATTTTTGTTTCTCGTTCGCTTGCAGCCGTTCTGTTCTGCGTGTGTTTTAGTGAAGGTTAAGACTCATTAATTGCGCTGTAAGGGTGTAAATAGGAAGCGTGCGCTCTCCATCCTCCTGTTAGCAATTAACAGCTGCTCACGGT